CCCCACCCCCGCCAGGGACACAGTTCACCCACCAGTAGGCACTAGACTTTCCCTAAACTCCTCCAGACAGTTTCTACCGTCTGTTCAGACTTCTGTTCCCACCCTCAGCGAGCCCCTGTCCCCCACAAACATGCTGCAAAGAGAGGGACCAGGCTTGGGACCAAGACGTTTCCTTATAGCACCTACTAGACACATTATTTCTAGTGTCACAGGTGGGTGCTGTGCTTCAGAGAAACACACGACAACTGCCTTTCCCAAGGAGACTGCTCATTGCACTCGTAAGCAAGGAAGCTGCTCTCTGAAAATCCAGGCCAAAGACTTCCTCTGGAAGGGATATTTCCACTTTCCTCAGTCATATGGGCAAATGCCTTGGACCTTGGGCCGCAAGCAGCCCGAAACTTCCACTGCTCAATGTTTTAAATGTCCCTGAGGGGTCCCCCACCCCCAATCTGGGCTGAATATTTGCCCTGGTTTTTCTTTTGTCTTCAGGCCAGAACTTTGTTCTTTGTTGCACAGAGAAACTGACTCCAACACAGAGGGTTTTTGCCCTTAGTTTCGCAGTTTGTCAGGAAGGGTTGGATGGTGAGAAGCTTCATGTGGGAGTCAAGGTCAGGCTGATCTCATATGTGCAGTGTCTCACCGCTCCCCCCTTCTGTTTTCTGTCAGCGGAAGAAATTGCCATCAACTGGCCCCAGATTGCTGCCTTTGCAGAAGCCCATCGTCGACGAGGCCTGCCCTTTGGTAAGTTATTGTGGGGAAGGAAGGCTGCAGCTTCTGCAGGAGTGCATGGGGACCGCATGTCTTTGTGTACAGTCAAAATCAGCTAGCAGGAAGGAGAGAGCCTTTGCTGTGTGTGGCCTCTTTCCATACTGTGGTTGGAGCCTGGGCAATGGGATGGAGCAGGGCAGGAGCAAGGGATTGTGGCTTGCTCCATATTGGCTGTGGCCCTGGAGCTACAGAGCGGCTCTTCCAATGTGGGGAGGATTGTGTGGGGGCTGCAGCTTTCCTGCTAGGGCTGGATTTGTTCTGCTTCCTGAGCATAGTCAGCCTCTGGCAGATTGTCTGGGAATGGCAGTATTACTTTGTGTTCTCTCGTGCCTATGGCAGAAACAGGCAACTTGAGACACCTCCTCCCCCCCCCACCCCCCTTTCCCTGCTGCCCCCAGCCATGCTCTGGACATTTTAATGAAAGCCACATTCATTACAATACCAATAGGGAACCAGATTCACCCAGAAGGTCAAGGAAGACAGTCCTCCCTGGGCCTGCCCTTCAGGCTTTCATCAACTTTATGGCTCTGACAACCCCAGCCCTCACCTGCTGTTAGTTCCTGTTAGCAGTTGTGATAGTTACTTCCACTATTACCAGCCTGTCTTTGACACCTGCTGCAGGGCTAGCCTGGAAGATCTGTTCTTGAAAGGGCCAGGAGGAGGTCAGTAGGCTAATGGCTCCACATTTCCATGCTGTCTGCACTGCTCTCTGCCCTCTGAGGAGGGAGGAGTTAATCAGTTACAAGGAGTCTTGTAGCTTTCTCCAAACTTAGCCAGGTCTAGAGACTCCCAGGGCCTGGGGGAGAGACCTTCCCAAAGGTGCTGTAATTGGGTTCTGAGGCAAGCATCAAACCTAGCCTGGCATATAATGGTCCATGCCTCTCTTCCTGACCAGGGCTGCAATCTCTTATGATCCAAACAGACATCACATTTGTGCTGCTTTGCCTATTGTATGCCAGGAAATTCCCCTGCAGGGGATGCCTATGGCCTGCATCTGCAAGTGAGGATCTGCTTGATTGCAGCTATGTGCATCAAGTTGTGGAGCAGCACCTGGGGCTGTTGTCCTACAGGATCAGGCCCCTGAAGACCTGGAAGCAGCAGGGACCTAACCCTGCTGGTTAATGGCCCTAGCAAGACTTCTAGATGGCAGTGAAGCGGATCACTTGGGCCAGGACACATTCCAGTGTAGCTGATCCTGCTCCCAAGACAACATCTCTTTTATAGCCTCAGCCTCCATTTTCCTCTCGGGCACCCCAGAGCCTTTCAAAGGTCCCTTTGAACCAGGGGAACTACCTCTACATGCTCCACAAATTTGACTACATACACCTTGGCTAACTGCAGTCTGTCTATCCATGCATAAACATGTACCCTAGAAAAGCTGTTGACAGTATCTCTTACCTTAGCCTGATGCCAGTACCCGTTTGATCCTGATCCCACCCCCGCCACACAGCTTATGTTTCCCTGCTAATTGTAATTGATAGCAAAGTGGAACTTGCTGTGGATATGGGGCCTGTGTGTTGCAAATACCCTTCTCCTTGCTCTAACCCAGCCGCATTCAAGACAGACCTGTTACAATGAGTTTGATTGCTAACGTCTGCAAAGAGTCCATCTACACTGAGTACGCTCCATCCCCTCCCAGCTCCTAGACTGAACTGCAGGGTCTCAGAGGCAGCACCATAATTCATTCCCTCGGCACTGGGCAACAACAGAGGCAGGGATCTCTGGACACAATAGTCCATAGTCACGTAATTAAAAACTTGAGTGTGATTCATCCACTCCAGGGGGCTGAATAAGTATGCAACAGCATCTGGCTTCTGGCGTTAGTTAACTTCTGAGTGCTATCCTTTGCAAATCTGTATCATAGAGAATTAGGGCTGGAAGGGACCTCCAGAGGTCATCTAGTCCAACCCCCTGCCTGAGGCAGGATCATCTCTATATGGACTATAACCTGACCTCTACTTAAATCTACCATCACCCCTAACACAACACAGACCTAACCCCCTAACCTGCCATAGGTAAAGCAGGGGAAGCATGACAGCCAGTGTCCTGCTTCTATGACATGTTGTCAATATTGTCTCAAGAGGTTCTGGGTAGAGGACCATGCCTCCCACTACAGAGGAAGGCAAAAACCGCCATAATCCATACCAAGCTGACAATGGGGTAAAATTCCTCCCTGACCCCAAATATGGTAATCAGTTAGACCCTGAGCAGAGGGGCAAAACCCTTTAGATCCTCCAGCTTTGGTCCCAGCAGGGGCAATATTTTCATCAGTTATCTGGAAGATGGGATAGAGTGCACCCTCAGCAAGTTTGCAGATGACACCAAGATGTGGGGAGTAGTAGATATACTGGAGGGTAGGACTAGGATTCAGAGAGACCTCAACAAATTGGAGTATTGGACTAAAAGAAATATCTTGAAGTTCAATAAGGACAAGTGCAAAGTCCTGCACTTAGATGGAACAATCCCATGCACTGTTACAGGCTGAGGACTGACTGGCTAAGCAACAGCTCTGCAGAAAAGGACTGGAGGATTACAGTAGGCAGTAAGCTGAATATGAGCCAACAGTGTGCCTCTGTTGTAAAGAAGGCTAACAGCATACTAGGCTGCATTAGTAAGAATGTTGCCAGCCGATTGAGGGAAGTAATTATTCCCTTCTATTCGGAACTGGTAAAGCTACATGTGGAGTACTGTGTCCAGTTTTGGACCCCTCACTACAGAAGGGATGTGGACAAATTGGACAGAGTGCAGCAGAAGACAACAAAACTGGTTAGGGGGTTGGAGAACAGGAGGCTGGGGGAACGGGGCTTATTTAGTCTGGAGAAGAGACGACCAAGGGGGAATTTAATAGTTTTCAGTTACCTAAAGGGTGGTTTCAAAGAGGAGGGAGCTATACTGCTCTCAGTGGCAGAACAAGGAGCAATGGTCTCAAGTTGTAGCAAGGGAAGTAAAGCACTGGAACACATTTTCCAGAGAGGTTGTGGAGTCTCCATCCTTGGAGGTTTTTAAGACCCAGCTAGACAAAGCCTTGGCTGGGATGATATAGCTGGAGATACTCCTGCTTTGAGCAGGGGGTTGGACTAGATGACCTCCTGAGGTCCCTTCCAACCCTCATTTTCTATGACTGGCATACCCCAGTCAAAATTCCCAGCCTTGGCTATAGCCAGCACCCAGTGAGAGGAAATTGGATAACAAAGAAGCAGAATCGCCTGAGACAGAGGCATTGGGCCATCCAGCGTTTGTCTACCCTGAGTCAGACCATAGTAGGGATCCACATTGACACCCACTCTGCTCATGCTGCATACTGAAAAACTGTCAGGCAGCTGCTTTTGTTTGTATGTCCATGGCCTGCCTAGTGCTGGTCCTGGGTAAGGCATGTTCCTGAGAACAGCAGTGGTCACCCCCCAGCACCACTCAAAGCCATCACTAGACACTTTTTTCATCATATGCTACATGCACAGTGAGGCGGGTAGAGTGTGTTTCCCTAGCCCTGTCTGTCCTGTTGTGGACACACTGACAGAGAACTTACAGTTTTAGGGGACTTTTTGTGCCCCCTGCTGGGAAACTGGCCACATGCAGACATTCATTTTCTCCTGAGAGAGTCTCTGCTCTCCCAGAATAAACCACAATTATGCAGATGTTCAAGCTTTTTCTCCCAAAGAAAAAATGACTACCAGGAGAAAAAGAATCTGGGAACAAACAGGATTGAATCATTCCTAGGAGAGTGAACACTGCCTGTTCCAGCTCTCCCCTCAGCTCCACTCCACCCTTCTACCACCTTCCTTTCAATGGCCCCTCTCCTTTCCCTTTCCATATAGATGACCCCATCCTGACTAAACCCAATGCCCTCAAATTAATCATGGCTCTAACTTAGTGCCATGTCATGATTACACTACCTTTTCTCCTCCCTATGTCTTGTCTGTTTAGATTGTAAGCTCTTTGGGGCAGGGACTGGCTGCTACTCTGTGTTTGTACAGTGCCTGGTGCAGTGGGACACTTTTCTTGGCTGGGCTTTAGATGCTGAAGGTGCAGCATAGGTGAAGTTGGGATAAAAGGTGTTTTAGACCTACCTGGATTCTAGGTGTGGAGTTGATGTGACTCCAGAATTAAAATCCTTTTTCTCCTCCTGGGGTTGATGTGACCCAGGTGTAATTCATAGCAGTCTCAGGACACTGTGGACTGTGCCCTCAGCATTATAAGATCATCCCAATTCACTTGCCATGGTGGAGGAGCAATGGGGTCAGGAAAGAGCCATTCCTCTCCATCCTGTCCTACTTTCCACGGACAGATATTCAGCCCTTGCCCTATGCCCCCTGGATATGGTGAGTAGGGCTGTATTTTTCCCTGTACCCCACCACCCCCTATTTCATAATGATGTTGGCATCTCCTCATTACCATGCTAATGTCCGAGTTCATAATACAGTCATGCAGCAGTTGTCACACTATATGCCAGCTTTCTGCTTTGGTCCTGCATGCTCCTCTTGGTCCCTGGATTTTCCGGTGTATCCAAGCCAAACAGGTGCTTCCCCACTGGAATTGCCATCACAGCTACTTACTGTTATGTGAGGCAAGGGTCCCTCTGGGATGATTTGGCCCAGTTTATACAACAGGGGCAGGCCCTATTTTGTTGGGGGTTACATGGTTTCTAATGTTACAAGCACACAGGGCCCCCTGGCCACTGAAGCCTCTTGACCTCCCTTCTGACTGTACAGTTGTCAACATGGAGCCAAGACAGAGACAGCTGGAGCCAACTCTGGTTCAAGCAGCAGCCACCACTGGCCAGGGAGGAGGGGCTGTCTTCCCAGACTTCCGGAAGCAGCTGCGGGCAATCCTGCAAACTGTTGGCCGGAGGCAAGTGGAGAAGATGCTGCGGGAGCTGGTGAAGGAACAGAAGCAAGAAGAGAAAGCCAAGCGGCGCAGAAGAGCTGCAAAGAGCCCCAGGGATGGAGGTGTGGAGTGAGGGGAACAGGAGCGACACAGGGAAGGAGGGTTGGTGGAGGAGGGTCCTAGGAGAAGCAGCATGAGGGCACAGTGGGATTCAATCCCAGCTGCCCCTGGCATAGCACGCAAATGTCTCCACTATTGCTTGTCCCTATCTGTGTAGTGGGGAGAAGGGTACCTATTTCCAGTCTGGTAATTGGGAGGGTTGGTTATGGAGGGAAGTCAGTAACTCACCTTGCCACACTCTAGGGAAGGGCACCAGGAGGCCCAGCTCCTGACTGTGGTCTTGTCTCAAGTCACTGGGCTTCGCCTCTCCCCTACCCCCACCCCTTCAAAGCCTTTATCTCCAGTGGCATGACACTTCAAGTTGTCTCTCTGTTCAAGCAGGTGGCAGAATGCTGAATGCAAAGGAGGGGACGGCCCCTATGGAAGAACATGCAAAGAAAGGGGAAGGCCCCAGGGCATTCCCTGAAAGCCCCACTGGAAAAGTTCCTGAGGGCCCTGAGCAGAAAGCAGCCCCTGCATGGCCGCAGAGCTCAGAAGGGCTCCAGAAGGACCCTCTAGCTGAGGCACGGGGCAAGGCCATACATGGGGGAGGTTGCAAGAAAGCTAAGGACACCAGAGTCCATGAGAAAACCCAGGTGGAGAAGCACAGGCCAGATGCCAGTGAGGACTGCCCAGAGAACTGCGGCTGTGACTTGCAGAGACCCCACCCATTCAGTGAACATGAAAAGAGTTTCATGCAAGGTTTGTCCCTCCAGCCCCAGAGCCCCCGCCTGACAGAGAGCCCCCATCCCTGCCCGGAGCATGGGAAGCACCTCCTCCAGGAGGTGGAGCCCCCATCCCAGCTGCGGACCCTTCGAGGGGAAGGCCCCTCAGAGTGCCTGGACAGCAGGAGGCACAGCAGTGTGAACCCTGCCCTCCTCCAGCCCCGGGGAGCCCCACCAGGTGGGGGGCAGCCTCCCCCTGTGTGCTCAGGCAGTGGGAGACGCTGCAGCGGGACCACTGGCCTGCGGCCTCAGAGACTCCACTCCCATCCATGTATGGCCTGCGGGAAGGGCCCTGCCCGAGGCTCCCACTTCCAGAGACACCCACACACCCACACGGGAGAGAGGCCCTCTCCGTGCTCTAGCTGTGGCAGACGCTGCATCTGGGTCACCCACCCTCCCCGGCCCCGCAGAGCCCATCTCCCTGAAAAGCCTCAACAGGGCACTGACCTGGCAGTGGAAGCACCGGGCCTGGCTATGGCAGCAGCGGTGGTGGCACCCTGTGCCCCAAGCGGACGGCGGTCATACCCATGCCTGGAATGTGGGAAGGGCTTCACGCAGCGCTCGGCTCTGAGCAAGCACCGGCGCATCCACACCGGGGAGCGACCCCACCAGTGCACAGACTGTGGAAAGCGCTTCCTACAGCGCTCGGACCTCACCATCCACCGGCGCCGGCACACGGGTGAGCGCCCTTACCGCTGCCCCCAATGTGGCCGGCGCTTCAGCGTCAGCTCCAACCTGGCCAAGCACCGACGTGCCCACCTGGGCCAACGCCCCTTCGGCTGTGCTGTCTGTGGCAAGGGTTTCATCCAGCGCTCTGAGTTGGTCATCCACCAGCGCTCCCACACAGGCGAGCGCCCCTACACCTGCTCTGCCTGTGGGAAGGGCTTCAGCCGCCGCTCCCACCTCACCCGCCACCAGAGAACCCACATGCGGGAGCGCTGGCCCACCCCCATCCTGCCCTGCCCCACCACTGCCACTGAGTCTGCATGCAGCCCACCCCACCATGGCCCCACACCAGGCACCTTGCCACTGCCCACTGTGTCCCAGGATTTGTCATGGGCCATATCCAAGTCCTCCCCTTCCAGTGCTTTCTCCCTGCCCTCCAGTTCATAGAATCATAGAAGTAGGGTCAGAAGGGACCTTGTAGATCTTCAAGTCCGACCCCCTGCCTGGGCAGGAAGAAAACTGGGCTCAAATGACCCCAGCCAGGTAGACATCAAGCCTCTTCTTAAAGACCCCCAGGGTAGGAGCCAGCACCACTTCCCTTGGAAGTCGGTTCCAGATCCTAGCCACCCTGACAGTGAAGTAGTTCCTACGGATGTCTAATCTAAACCTACTGTCCAACAACTTGTGGCCATTGTTCCTTGTTATCCCGGGGGGCGCTAGGGGAAACAAGGTCTCCCCCAAACCCTTCTGGTCCCCCCCAGTGAGTTTATAGACGGTCACCAGGTCCCCCCTCAGCCTTCTCTTGTGAAGGCTGAACAGGTTCAGGTCCCGTAGCCTCTCATTGAAGGGTCTGCCCTGCTGTCCCTGGATCATGCGGGTGGCCCTCCTCCGGACCCTTTCAATGTTGTTCACATCCCTCTTGAAGTGGGGTGCCCAGAATGATACAGTACTCCAGCTGTGGCCTGACCAGTGTCACGTAGAGTTAATATAGTCCATGGTGTCTGCGGCCTCTGAGGCCTTGGTCACTTGTGTGGTCTCCCCTACCCCACTCACTGGGCTCTTCACTTCTGCCTCACCAGCCCACCCAGCCCTGCCTCTGCCTTCACCCCCTGCTGCCCCTACCCTGCCCCTCTCTCTGAGCCCTGCTAAACCTGGCCTCTCTCTTGAGCAAAGTCCATGCCAGCCACCTCCAGCCCTGTGTCTCTGTCTCCAGCTCCTCCTTCCCCTCCCCACAACTGCTTCTGGGGTTGAAGTGACCTGAGGTTTTCCTCCTTCAGTCCACCCTCAATGCCTCCCTCCCTTGGCCCACTCTATCTTTCCATCAGCCATTCTGCTTTCTGAGGCTTGGCCGACTCTCCTCCATGCCCATCTGTCCCCCTTCCCCAGGCGCCTTGCCTCCACTGCCCAGACTTCCTCACCCAGCAAGCCCAGCGATGCTGAAAAGCAGAGGACCAAATTTCCACCTACAATTGGCACCAATACCCAGTGCACATCCAGCTCTGAACCACCTGGCTGTTTCTGTTGCTACCTCGGTGAGAGCAGAGTTCATTTAGAAAATCTTGCTCAACTCTCCTGGATCCTGGCTTCAAAACCCTCTTCCCCACAGAGCAAGACTGAGGCTAACCAACTGATTACTAGTGACACAATATACAAGTGGGAGAGGTGGCAGAAACATTGCTTTTTGGGACAAGTCAGCCAAGGCTGAGAACTATGAATTTGCTGCAGTGGTGAGAGAGAGAGTGAATGTCTCGGTAGCCTCAAATGAAGCCTTCTGTGAACTAGAAAGAATTGCTATGGGCATCCTGGGAGCAAATGGGAGGGGGTCAGCAGGACCCAGACCCACAGAGATATTTTGGCACTTCAATTTCCATTGAGTTCCATGGGGGTTCGGGTGATAGAGTTAGGCACCACACCAGTGGGTTGGAGCCCAGATCCTAAGAGCCTGGTCCAAGCTATAGGTGAGACAATTCAGCAGGTGAAAACAAAAGCAAGGGTTAGGCTGGACTGAGAGGCTGAGCCTCAGGGTCCAGTCAGCTGCTCTGTCGCAGAGACCTGCCTGGGAGCAACTTGAATTGGTTTCCCACCTCCAAACATGGACATCCGGAGAGAAATAAAAGTCTTCACTAAGATCTAGGAATGACCACTGGAGGTGCTGAAACTTCATCCTGCTAAAAGCAACTGCTGGCAGCCAGAGGAAATCCAAGGCTCCCTGAAAGCTCCAAGCAAACTCCAGTCTTTCCATGGAGCAGACACACACAGATTCCTTTGACCTTGAGACTGGGCTAGTGTCCCCTGGCTGCTGGCCCCTTTGTTACTTTCAAAGCCTTGTTTTGTTTATAGGGGAAGGGGAGGGTGGGATTTGGAAGCAGGTGTAGACTCAGTAAGGGTGAAGATGTGATGGTCTTTGGACATGGAGATGAGGGGAGAGGGGAAACATGATTTTTTTGAAAAAAATTATTCTTGCTTTGAATTAGGAGTGATAAAGTAGAACTTTGTTTACCAAATCTCCAGCCTGGACTCATATATCACAGGTACAAAGGAACCTTAAATAGAGTAAGAGGAGGCATATCTGTTTGAGGGCCTTGTCAGACTATGCTGTAAGCCAAGCAAATTTTATCAGCCTAGTGCTGTTCAGCTTAATGGAGCAGTTGCATATTAAGGCAAAAAAAACTGATTGCCCCTTCCCTGCACAGCTATGACTTGCCACTAGCAGCTTGGTGAGCACAAGTAGGACAAGGAGCTAGGGGAAGGACAGGCTCCCTGCTCTCTGGGCAGAGCAAGTGCTGCAGCCCCAGCTCCTGGAAGCCATGGTGCCTCCCACCACTGCTTTGACTGGCTCTGTTTCCCTGGGAGCTGAGCCAGCCAGATCCAAACAGGGGAGAGAACAGCATGGCTCATACCTGACTCCATTTCCTGTTGGGAGCAGAGCCAGCTGGATCCGAGCAGAGGAGGGCACTGCGTTGCCTGGATGTGGCTCTGCTCCCCATGGGGGGCAGAGCCAGCCAGGTCTGAGCAACACGCTTCCCACTCTGACCCAGCTGGTTCTGCTCCCGGCGGACCAAGCAGTGGCAGGAGTCACAGTGGGTACACTGCCTGCTGGGATGCTGGAGGACCTCAACTTGGGCAGAAAAACTGCAGAGTGTACACAAGTTACTAAAATAACAACAAAATTAGGCAGATTGGAGATAATCCTGCCCTGGTGTGGGGTAACATTAAGCTGAATACATAGTGCTTTAAGCCACTTAAAAGGTGTTAACATCCAGCCAGTCCAGGAGTTAAGAGCTGCAGAAGCCACCTAAAGTAACAAGTGTAACAAGGTCCTGAGTCTTTAGGTTACTGAAGGCCAGGAATTTTGTAGGCCCTCAGCTCTGCCAGAGCTTCCAGTAAGGACAGTGGGGAAACCACTAGCAGTTAACATTAGGACCTGCTAGGTGCTGTACTCGAGGAGCTAATGCACGCCGATTTGGTCCTAACTAAAGCTGGCTGGTTATTTGCCAACAAGCGTTGTGCTCCTGTCCTGCACGTGTCTGCAATATGAACATAACATTTTCAAGGTCTCCGTCCTTATCTTCACGGTGCTCCGTGGGCTGGGCTCAGGATGTAAAAGATGGGGTAAGGCTCTTGGATGAGGGGGTTAACAACTCCGTATTCAGGCACCCTGACTTTACCAACACAGGAAAAGCTTGTCTGTGGAAGGAACAGATCTTTCTTGGATGATGGTTCAAAACGGGATAAAGGGAACCCACTTTACAATGTAACACAGGGATACATTCCAAAACCTTGACTGCACTGACCCCCAGACCCATTTCTATCACTTCTACAGGACAATTTTGGTACTCACCAACAGCATGCAATATACACAAGCACAGGGCAGTATAATAACGGGGATGACAACTACACAAACACGTGTCGCAGACAATGAGCAAGAAACACAGATCCACACAGGAGACTATTTTGGTGCACGTCACTCCCACAATGCACTGCACAAAGCAGCTGACTGCTGGCTTCCACCACACCAATAGCGTAAGAGTGAATTTACCTCGCATATAATTAATTTTTGGTATAAAAAGGGTCATAGGTTCATAGATTCATAGATGTAGAGTCGGAAGGGACCTAAGTAGATCTTCAAGTCCTACCCCCTGCCCCGGGCAGGAGAGAAAACTGTGCTCATATGACCCCAGCTAGGTAATTATCTAGCCTCCTCTTAAAGACCCCCAGGGTAGGAGCCAGCACCACTTCCCTTGGAAGTTGGTTCCAGGTCCTAGCCGCCCTGACTGTGAAGTAGTGCCTCCTGATACCCAGCCTGAATCTGCTCTCTGTCAACTTATGGCCGTTGTTCCTTGTTACTCCGGGAGGCGCTCAGGGGAACAAGATCTCTCCCATTCCCTGCTGGTCCCCCCGGTAAGTTTATAGACAGCCACCAGGTCCCCTCTCAGCCTTCTCTTGTGGAGGCTGAACAGGTTCAGGTCCCTTAGCCTCTCCTCATAGGGTCTGCCCTGCTGTTTCTGGATCATGCGAGTGGCCCTCCTCTGGACCCTCTCCATGTTGTCCACATCCCTCCTGAAGTGCGGCGCCCAGAACTGGA